GGTGTCCCCTAGATGTTAGATAAAAACAGCCCTTATCCACTTCCTATAGATACAGCTGAAAAAGCCTTGACCATAATTCTGTTAATCACTGTTATCTTTAATACAACAGAATAAAAAATTTCAAATGCTGTAGCCATTCTCAATTTTTAAAAAGAGGACCTATATTCTCACTTCAATCATCTTTTTTCATATATTTCTGCATCAAGATTAATACGATAAAATGGACTGTAAACTGGAAAAGCTTGTTTGATAATAATACATTTCTTTTGAGTTGCTACCAAATTCTATTTAATTGAAAGTAAATATATTTTCATACTTCTACTTACTACTACATACACCAATATGAGCCATGACCTATCCAGCCATAGGTAGAATCAAATAGTACTGGAATTGAGAACAACTGGAGCATTTCATTAACAATGATCATTAGAGGAAACTTTTTTCTCATACTGCTTTTTCTGCTTTGAGAAGAAATCTGTAAATCTGATTCCCACAACACATTGCACCATGACATTTCAGTCAAGCCTAGGTTCCAACTAGTTAGTTTGGGAATGAATCAAATAGGCAATAGTAGAGCAAGAGGTTCACTTAAAATCATTCTGGTGGTAATATTTATCCAAGGGTCCTAGTTTGAGTAAAGTCAAGGGTCAAGTCACATTCTCCCAACAACAGAAAAGACTGCTATACAGGTTGATAAACAAATATGATTCCAGGAACAAAACTTGGCAATTTTAAAACTCTTTTCCCAGAGTTCTTTCCAAAACACAACTGCAAACAATCATTTCTCACCTAACTTTCAAGAAGAGAACTACTTTTCAGCTTTAGCTTCACATAAGTCTGTATTTCACCACTTCATAAAACTGTTTGTTCTACTTCTTTGTAAGGCTGGATGGTTGTTCAATTTCTTTGTAATGTCAAAAGAGCTTCCTGCATCTCAAGAGGTTGGTGGTGTCCAGTAGCAACCTCACCTGCCTCACGGTCACCATAAGCAATTACTTATTTATTGCTTTCATGAAGCTCCAAATCTTTACCTGAACAGTAGTTCTTTCATTAGGGAGTGCAGCTAGGAGAAGAACAGCTTTACTTAATTCTTGTATGTAATTATTTACACATCCTATTATTAATTACTGAATGAATTATTTATATCAGGGCTGCCAAATTTGAGATGCAAAAATCCAAATGACGTAAGATGAAGTAAGCACATACAGTAGTTGCCACTTACTAGTTGCTCAGTTTTTGCAATCTAGATATTGTAACTATATCTACATATTTCCTTATAAAAGTTAATACCGTAATGAAAAATTGAGGATATGGAATGGCTAAGAATATGAACCTGGATGCAAATTTCAGATCAACCATTTGTTTTCTGAGTCACTTGAGGTAAAATGTTACCCTTAATTTTTGCATGATATGGGTAGTAAATTTATTTACCTTACAGAATTCTAGTATGGAATGTTATTATGTTTTAAAATAATAGGTTAATATGTTTGCAAACCACCCAGAGTCACTTAGGTGAGCTGAATAATGTAAGAGTTTGATAAATAAATAATATATACCAAGATAAAGCATCTACATCTGGAAAAATCTGGACAGATTTAGATTTCATGTATCTCTTTGCTACCATCTAGTGACTGTCTGGATATTTGCAGCTCCAATATAGTACGATTAAAAACTAACGATTGTAGAACAAATACTAGCTTCCTGTATCATTGGCTGTACTGACTGGGTGCTGGATTTATAATACAGCAGCATCTCAAAGATGAGAAGTTGCCCATTCAGTTCAGGTGAAGCATATTCAACTCTCATGTGTGTCTTAAACACACATGCTAAAATTACTGAACGTATTATTTTACAAATATTGACTTGGCCCACAACTGAAAATACCATCATATTTACATGCCAGATTACATAAAATATAGATTTTATGTGTTTTAGGTAAGAGTTAAAAGAATTCCAAATTAGATTAGGAACACAGGAGTAAAAGGAGAACGCCAAAGTTCTTTTCCATGCTTAATTGATCCTTCAAATATAGTTTGCTTGGCATTATAGCTTCACATTCTTGATGTCTTTATGAAATCCAAGCAGACTTTGCAAAACAGCCTGGAGGACTCTTAGCATAGACAACAGACTGCTGCTGCAGTGACCTAAAATACTCTGCTCAGAAAAGCTAAAAACCTGTCTAAGCTTGTAAGAGGGCTTCCCTCATGCTGACAAGAATATCCTTTTGAGAAAACTAAAGATATTCAATACAAAAAAATATATCAGAAAATCTAATTTCCAAGGCTAGGCCTTCTGATATTCTCAGGAACAGAAAAAAGACCCATTTGTCCCAAAGTTAACATTGCTGGCCTTCTGCTGCCAAGTCACTGTCAGCTTCGGTTATTGGCTGACAGTTTTACCCAAACTAATCTTCCTTTGCTCTGCCAACTTTTGAAACATTTTCTTTCATTGTACAAAAACTGCCATTTCCACTTTCTATAAGACTTATAGTAATGTGAAGCCACTTGTCAGCCTTTCATTCTTGGCACCTAGGTATCCTTCATCTGTATTAAAATATGGTATTAAAGCATTTTAATTCTCAAATTGAATCCTTTTTCACTCTAGGTAATCCTTCTGCCCATCACCTAAGTTCATCCAACAGCAAGTACATACTACTGCATTTTGTGGGACATGCTTCAGACTCCCTCTGCTTAAGGTATGGGAAGCCAAAATATTCAGGCTGCAAGCATACTTTCACTACTGTGATCTATTCAAGTGCATAAAAATCTGCTATTACCTTGATAGTAAATTTGCTCTGAAGAGAGCCCTCTGTTGTCAATTTTTTAACCTGTCTTCCTTCTATTCCTAAGGCACTACAACACTAATTGAAAGATTGTAAGTACAAATATAGCTTGGGCATTTTGTTACTGAACTGTTGGCAGTGCTTTTTCATTATTTTTCTGCCATTGAGATACACAGCATGTGAATGGTCAGATTGCAATTACAAAATTTGGTCCATTTTTGCAACAACAAAAAAAAATCCACAGGATATTTCATAGCATGCTATTAATTTTTAAGTGTTTAGTGTGCAAGAGTAATTGTATCTTTGTTTATACACAAGGGACACAGTTTTTTCTTCTTAAATCAAGAACCATATGTTATTTTTATTCACATTAATCTTTACATAAGCATGTAGTAACAATTTTAAAACTTCAACATCTCCCCACCCTCTGCAAAAAAAAAAAGAATGAGGAACTTCTTTGTAAAGACAAATATATCAGTCTTGATTCATCCTGCATGCTCCTCAAATATATAATTGCTCTTGATTATTTGATTCACTCTGCATGCTTCTAAAATATATAATTGCTCTTAATTAATTGATGTGGTTGGTGTATATGTGTATGTGTTGAGTGTGATCCATTTATCTACTTCAAAATATTTGCAGCAAATATACAGACACATTAGACATCTCCACAAAGGTTGAGAATCCTTTAGCAGACACCTCTGAGTTTCTTCTATAAATAGCTTGATTCTTTATTTACAAGTGAAAGAAACCTCAGGAGGATGTCTTCACTTCCCACTCCTCTAAAACACCAGCCCCAGGACTCAGTTGGTGCAGTAGTCCTCAGGGAGCTCCAGTCATGTTTTCCACAATTTGACATTAAAATACCCACCAAATATCCAACTTTATAATTGATGCCGAGAGACACCAGATGCCAATCCTAAGAATATTTCCTCCTGCTGTTCCCCCCCCCCTTCTAATCGCTGGAACAAATCTTTAGGGAGCAAACCTATCCCCGTTTCTCTCTCCTCTCACATGTTGTAGGGGGAGCTGCTTACATTTAAATCCTGAAGAACTGTACTGGGCGGATTTCCCAAACCCCAGGGAAGTTTGGGGCAAACCGTGTGGAAATTCGCGTCCGGGGAAAGATGTAAATATTACTCCAGACTAAGCTCAACGGATAGGTCGTCTCCGATCAAGGAAAAACCCAAGCAGAACATTTCCAATGCACAGAACCATAGAAAAATCAAAAGGTAGTAATAGTGCGGTGGAAAACCATAAATAAGCACAGGAGAAATACCCCCCCTCCTTCCTTTGAATAAATTGGGATGTTTGAATTTCAGTCCTGCCTCCCCCTTAACACAAGATGCCTGTTTGATCACTGCCTGTTGGCAAAGCCCAATGTCTTTTTCCTCAAGAGTCTCCGGGTTTTGAATCTCTTCCACAAAGCTGTACGAAGTCCGGCGCACACACAAGGTATTCCGATCGTCCTGGCGGCCAAGGTATTATTAACTAAGAGAGAAACTTGCCTTCCCGCTTGTTCTGCCCCTCCCGGGTCGCCCTCCCCTTATTTTTTCCCCCGCCGCATTCCCACCCCAGCCAAACCAGAAGGGATCATACGCATTTTTATGCAAGCACACATATATACACACACATTATACCTCTTCACATCCCCCCTTTCGATCTGCATTAGACACAGCTCCATCCTGCCGGTAGCAGCGGAGGTCAGTGATGGAATTAATAGACGCCAACGCCGCCGCCCGGATAACAGGGGATTAGGTAATTTCAGTCCACGAGCCTCCCTCTCAGATCTACTCCCCGCCCCTCTCCACACATTCTCCACCACCACCACCCTCCGCACGGCGAGTGAGTGCCTCCTCCCTCGATGGAGCATCGGACGAGGCAGGGTGATCCCAGATTTGCTGCAAAGATCCGGGGGATCTGCAGACCGACCCCCGCTTTCTGCGCACACCTAGTTCTCCACAGCTTCATCCTAAACCTTCCAAAGTTCTCGGCCGCGAGAGACTCTCGGACTTAGGTTTCGGCCCTGCTCCTTCTTTGCGAATCTGCCGAGCACCAAGGAGGAAACCTTGGCTGTCTGCCTCGCTCCCCCAGCGCCTCGCCAGTCAGTAAAGTCTAAATCGAGTCAACTTGATGCTTGCGCTTTCAAGTTGCGGCTTTTCCGGGAGGCCTGGGGGAAGGAGGGGGGAACTGACCCCACGCAGCTCCGCTCACTCACCCGGGCTGCAGACGGGCCCTGCGGGGGCTTCCTTGGCGCTCCATTTTCACGCTCGTTGCCTGCTTCCGAAGCGGGGACAGAAGGGAGCTCACTTGTCGCTGTTCTTGGTGCTGAAAGCCAGGCAGCGCTTCCCGAGTCTCTTCCATGTGAATAACAAATACTCCCACAGGCAGCAGCTATTGGTCTGTCTTGAAAGTCCCGTCCTAATCCCCGTTTATCAGACCATTCAGCCTAACCGTGGCTGAGGGGGAAAAAAAAAGTATAGGAAGCTTTCTCTGTTTCCCCCCCCCCTTCCGCAACGCACATTCACAGACACCCTCCAATCCCAAATTAGGACAATTGCCACCCTGAATGTTCTGAACACTTCTGAAATGCCGCAGCCTTTGAAAAACGAGAGAGGGGAAGGAAACAACTCATAATGTATTAAAACACTATCCTCATCTTTTCCCCCCACGTTGACTATGGTTTGGTAAAACCACGGCAGCTTTTTCGTATCCCCACCACCACCACCACTTCTTCCTGCGCCGTTTGCCTCCTCTCCTGCAAAGCTTTCCTGCAAAGCACCCGTTGCTTCTCCTCTCTCTCGTTTTCCTTATTCCGCTCTGACACCGCCAACGGTCAGAAAAATAAGTGTTTCCATCAGGTTTGATTTCCAAGGCAGAAAAAGCTAATTAGGGAACTCGGCGGGAGGAGCGGAGGCAGCGAGGAACAGATGGGGCTAATACGGACTTGGGGTGTTAACTGCGGTTTCTCTTGAATGGAGACGAGCCATTCAAAAGAAGCAAGGAACCGCAGGGGGGAGGGAGGAGGGAGACTCCCCAGAGTCAGGTGTGCACGCTAGGACTCGTATCAATAGGTCGGGCGAAAAACGGCGCGAGTTGCGATCGAAATCCCGCTCTGCGCCCGCCGCGTCTTAATGAGCTTCGTTCAGCTGGTAGGTGGTCATTCTGGGGGAAGTCGGAAGAGTCTAAACCAAAGAACGGCGCTGCTGGTGCGCTGCGGGTTAGTTGTCCATCAAAGTTTGCAGGTGGATGTTTGAAGTGGCCGTCGCGTCTCTCCCTGGGGTGGTCTCCGAGTTGGGGAGAGTGGACTTTGTTAAGAAGGATCCCACCCTAAGGAGCGCTAACTGTTCAGCTGCGTGGGGTGAGCTTTACCCGAAAGGTTGAAGGAATGCGCTCCCTGTTGTTGGAAATGAGAAACTGTCGCAAGGATCTCTTGTGTATTTCAATCTTTCTTACTTAATTTATCTCCGGAAATAAGGTACTTCCTTTCTCCGCAGCGGTTTTCGTTTGCTTTAGTTCGCAATATATGATGCTGAAAGAAGGGGAGGGGGGATCTCCCTGGCTCCTCAGCCCGGCCTTTTGGCTACTACTGTTAACACGCTGACCGTGTCTTGATGAAAAAGTCCCATCTTGAGGCAGTTGCTGGAACTGCAAGCAAAGTATTTCGATCTGCTCGATGGAATTATTTTCCCGTCCATTTTATTCTTTTGGACGACGTCGGAGATCCATGTCGCCATACGAAACGGAGACAGAGCCGCCCTAGGAAAGGAGACAGCCTGCGATTCTAAATTAGAGGGAAGTCTGAAGATGAAGGCCGAGGATACCACAGAGCAAGCGAGAAAGATACAGGATTCGCCGATCTCTCCAAGGTTGAGATCATCCAAGCTGAAGAAGAGAAGATATTAGAATGGGACGCGGAATTCTGCTTTTTTCCAATCGCAGCTTTACAGCACAGACAGTACATAACGCGGGGAAGGCAGCATTATTGAGAAATATTGTTAAACATTAAATAAGAATAACGTCTTTAATAGACAAAACATGAGGCAAAAAGTATCAAGCAACTAAAATACTGTTGTTTGTCAACAGTGTTAAGAATTTCTGAAATACTAAAATAGCTGTCCATAGCTGTCTGTGAGTTTACTATATCAGTTCATTACTAATAATATAAATCCTGTTATTCATGTATCCACTCCAAATCTTGAAAAATCTCAGGTTTGGTTTTGTTTACTGCTCATATTTGTCTGATTATTTTTTCTACAAGGTTCATATTTCATTGTGCAAAATAGTTATAGAACTTAGTGTTTAATTTCTTAATTTGACCTATAAGTTGTGTAGTACTTATGAACATAAAAGTTTGGTCCATCAAAATGGGAAGCAAAACTGGGCTTTGCTTGGTTACGTATACTGTAATACACTGTAGGATTTTGCTACTTTCCTGATCTACCTCTTGGAGTTCCTAAGGAGCATAGCATTTTGTTAATCAGTTAGTATTATATACTGCACAATATTTTGCATTCTTAGAAGTATCTCCATATAAACAGCCTTAAAGTGTTTAGTCACAAATGTTTATTGCTGCAGATCAATCAGTGATACAGTTTTAAAGTTAAAAGGTAAGCATACCTAAAACCTTATGTAACAGATTAAATTTTAGCAGAGACATTTTTCTTTTTCCTTCATGAATCTTTGCTCTTGCTGTCTGCCATGAGAAAAAAATCTGCCTTTTCAGAATGGTTATTGTATCAAATACAATTCACTCATTATTAACCAAGTAAAGTTACTTAAATCAGCAAGTTCCATCCCCCAAAGCACTATCATCTAGATTGAATGTAGTATAAACATCTGTTTATATTGCTTGTTGTAATTTTTGAAGCTAAATGATGCAACTTCATTTATGCAGTTATTGATGTCCTGCATAATTTTTTGCCAATTCACTAAATCACACAAATTCATAAATTGGTGTTTTGCAGATTGTAGCCTTTTAAAACAGAGCTAATGAATAAAAGTGAAGAATGAAGGAATAATCAGAACATCACAATTTCTCCCTCTGTGTAGGACCTGTGATTGAAAGCAAATGGCATAACAAAAAGTATGGTATGAAAAACATGGTATTTCTTGTGCTATTAAGTGTAGTATATGTATAAGCTTTTTAAGTTATGATTATGCTTAATTTCATATGTATGTGTGTGTGTATCCTACAGTGCTCTATTATAAAACATATTAAACAAGTTCAGAATGAGACAAATCAGAATAATTCTTGTACTGCTGTGCATGGGATTGTCATTTTGCTGTTAAATAAAAGGTTGATATTTACATGCTAAAATTAAAACACAGCCAAGATCCTTAAAAAGATCAGCATATGTAATGAGGTTTTCTCCAAGTATTGAAATCTCTGGTTCCCTTTCTTAATAGTAGCTTGGCATAGTACTAGACAGTCTGTAGGTATTGACAGATTTTAAGGATCCTTAAAGTGAGGAGTTTTTTAAAAAAATATAATCAAAAGAGTTAAAGAAGCAATCTGCATCTATTGTCATTACATGGTCTTAATTTGATACTTTTTCCCATAAATCAGCTTTTGAATCTCAATTCAAGTTCTGAAATATCCAACAGAAAGAGGTTGATATATATCCTGACACTTGAAATTAGTCTATAGTCAGACAATAGCTTAGAAATATAATTCTTCAATTCTCAAGAGTTAGGTGCCATTCTCTTATCAGGAAGAAGAAAAATGTAAGTGCATTAGGAACTTATACTTCATGACATCATATCACTTCTATGCAAATTTTAATATAAACCAAACATTTACTGTAGAGGTCACTCCAAGTTTGGACTGTCAGCCTTCAGTTTTACAATACTGTAGCAGTAAAATGATTAAAAATTTGCTTTTCCAAATACTTGCTGCTGATTAGAATGACACATTCCAAAGTGCATCATCATGTCTTTGAACTTAAAATGAAGCCATTCTATTAATGAAGGCATTAATAATTTTTTCTTCATCGTATTTGTAGTTGCATTGAAAGCTATCATGTATCATAAGATACAAGAGCTCTACTAAAATATTAAGAACATTCTGGATGATAGGAAAGACCCTTTCTAGTTGAAATGAAATATCTAGATACTTCAACATTTATTGCAACTGGACAGCTATTAATTTACTGCTTGGATGATTATGGGCTTCCAATTTTATGTGGGAGAAAACCCGAATAACCAAAGACAAACATACAAACACCCGCAAAAACCTCAGAAAACAAATATATATTCCATCAGGCCAAGGACAAGATCTAGGAGCCGGGTGCAGACTCTGGCCAATCTATAAAGAGGACTCTCCTACTGACCGGCATTTTGAGCCCTGATGATGTCAGCAGTTGCTGACGAAAGCTAGGTATTTTATTGGTTTTATTGTAATTTTATTGACATTTTACTAAATTTTATTAAATTTTTAGCACTCCCTGGTGCTCACATTTATTTGTTTGGTTTTAAATATGGATATACCCAGGGATCATATTTTTAGTGTAATTGTTAACATAAATATATATATATATATATATATATATATATATATATATATATATATATATGTAGGTCTTTGGTTATTTGGGTTTTCTCCTGCGTCAAATTGGAAGTGTCTTGGCGATGTTTCGACGAAGTCCCATTCGTCATCTTCAGGCTGCAATTGCTCCTAGAAGCACAAAGCCGAAAACACCAGCCTGAAGATGACAAATGGGACTTCGTCGAAATGTAACCAAGACACTTCCAATTTGACATGGGAGAAAACCCGAATAACCAAAGACCTACATACAAACACCTGCGAAAACCTCAGAAAACAAATATATATATCCAAATTTCTTTTTCTGACAAAGAGTTAAAGAATTAAATTGGGAGACTAAGATGGCCATTTCGAGCTCATTCGGCCATCTTAGTTTCCCAATTTAATTCTTTAACTCTTTGTCAGAAAAAGAAATTTGGATTTGTAATGTTTCACATTTGCGACTTGAGCCTGCTTAATGCCCCTAGTTGGGGGGGCTGCAAGGCAAAAGGGATTGTAAAAAGTAAAACTGCAGTATAGCAGTTAAAAATGTCAAGGTGTAATCAATCAGACATCTGTCTGAAAAACTTCCTGCATATATATGAAATAGGCAAGCTATAATTAATTGCTATCATATAAATATTTCTCATCAAGGGCAGCATTTCAAGGCCTCTCTGTTTTGTGACTAGTATTTAGGGTTAATGATTCTAGCCCTGTTATATCTTACTGTTGTAGTCTAATGACTGGTAATCACTGATGGTTTAATTAGATAACGTTTAAACCAGACATTTATTGAATAGTTACAAGAATTCTTACAGAGTTGCAGCACTTGCTATTATTAACTGCCACCTCATTTGTCATCTTAATGGGATTTGAAAAAGGCCACATGGCTTTCTTTCTGATGACTGATATAAACCCTATTGTAGCAATAAATTAGAAAATTTTAGAAAGGGGTGGGGGACATTTTTGAGCCAAGATATAATCAGATCTCTTGCAAACTACTTTTGCATATATAAAGATATGCAGAACACTT